AAAAGAAAAAGAAAAAGAAAGAAAGAAAGAAAGAAAGAAAGAAAGAAAACCAGGGCTAACTATGAAGGGCTGGAGGTTTCAGGAAATCAGAAAAGGCCAGCTGGACAGGTCTGCTGGGAGTTCCTGGCAGATGGAAGCAGGGCAGGGCATGCTGGCCAGAGCACAGGAGGCCATGGTGACCAAGTACCTGGCAGCCTCTGTGACCTAGACATAGCCTGGCAGCAAAGGTGGGAACAGGGTGAACTCAGCCAAAGGAGTCAGAGCCCAATCCAAAGGCAGCACCCCCCAACAGGACACCAGGAAACGTGGTACTTTGAGGCCTCAGCTAGAACAGTGAAATCAATTAAATGACTGAAGCTGGGGAGGGTGTTGCATGCCTATAACCCCAGTACTCAGGAGAGAAAAGCAAGAGGATCGTGAGTTCAAGGCCACATAGTGAGACTCTTGTGTTGATCAAATACCCCATTCCTGAATTTAAATGTCATGACTAACCTGTGTCTGTATGCAACTAGGGCTCTTGTTGGCCTGTGAATGGAGAAGACACAAGGTGTGAAGTTAGGTGCTCACTGATAAACAGGACACCATCCACTGGTCGTGTGCCATGCTTTCCTTCCGTCTACAGACACCGGAGCTATGGTCCTAGGCCATGTTTGGATCAGTCATCTCTGGTTCAGTGAACACAGGCAGTACATTTGAAATTTGACAGGAAAAATGTAACGTAACACTGTTATTGTCAAGACAGTTGCAATTCTTAATTGGGACAGACAGAAGAACATATGAATGGCTTCTTTCTGTTATAAGCAATATCTGATAATACCCAATGTCACTTCCTATGATGTGATGTAAGTACCAAGTTTCATAGGCTAATATGTCAAAAAGAATTTTAAAATATCTAAAACCTGCTTGGTCTCATGCAGACTGCCATGAGGTAGGATGCAGCCTATTCTCTGATATACCATCCTGATTGATGGACAAATCGTTTTGTTAACAGCAGTAGCAGCTTTTTACGTTTCAATTCTCATCATTCATGATGTCCCTAATGTCTTCCTGAAACACACTGCGAAGATATACCTATGGGAGGGGCTCTGCAACAGCTTTAACTGGACTGAGAAGAAATCACACTTCCTGAGGGTGGCTGGATTTCGTCTAATCTGAACTCGCCAAAGTTCATTCTTATTCATCTCCAGCAGATTTTAATTGAAAAGTGTGAGTTTGGGATCTTATCTGAGGCCACTCTGACTCCAGGCCTGAGAAGAGGTTCCCAGGAGAGCACTGTGGTCCCTGAGGCTCACCCTACCCCTCCGGGACCCAGCCCCTGCCTTCCAGGCATAGAAGCCTCCATTCATTCTTCCTGCTCGCCAGCCAGGCTACTTCCTTCTCTGAACAGCTTCTTTCACTTTCACAGTGACACAAAGCCACAGCTCTGCCGGACCACTCTCTGGCTTTCACATCTGCACAGCATCTTGAGTCCAGGTGGGGTGGAAGTGGAAGGGGTTGTCCTCCCTCGAGTCTAACAGACTAACAGACTAGGGTTTGGAACTGGCCTCCCAACTCAGTGGTCTTGAAGACATGCCTGTCCTGGGGCTTCATGCCCACGTTATAAACTGAAAAGCCACAGTCCTAAGGATGTCCTCATTGCAGCATTTGGTGGGGTTTAAATGAGGGGTCTCAGGTGGAGTGGTTGGAAATGGGCTCCTTTAGTCAAACCAGCAAAAGCAGGTTGTTATTGTGGATATGTGATACTGTTGTCTAAAAGCACCCCTTCCTGGGTACCTCCCCTTCCTGTCTCCCTCCTGTACCCATCACTCCAAACCACCTATTCTTAGATCAGCCTTCCCATGAGTGAACAAAAGCAATGATAACTTAGGTTAAAGAGAAGTCTGACATTGGCTGTGTGGGACGGTGGGGCAGCCCCAAACTATCACCAGATATCAGGCACTTGAGTTTATGATCTGCCATCTGGAACTTGGCTTTCTTTAGATGACTCCACAGACCAAAATGGTTGCTGAAACACTATCAAATCTATATCCTCCATCTTGACAATAGGAGGGGGTGAGGTTCTGTAGTCTCTCTATCAAGAGAGAAGGAAGAAATGAAGGAGGGCAAAAAAAAAAAGTGTGTAACACCACTCCTATCCCCACCGCTGTGGAGCTTTGCTGAAGCCGCTACTTGGTAAATTTCTCCATTTACCAAAGCAGGTCTCTTGGTCTCTCCTGGCTGCCAGGTCTCTGGGCAGGTCACCAGAAATATAGTAGGGCTTTTAGGGAAGCAAGACAAAGAGAAGGTATATCTATTCCTAACCGGCAGTATTGGCCATGGCCTGGAACACAGGGCAGC